AAATGGTGCGCGTAATTAGATTTTAAATTTATTGCGCTCTGTGTATTATTTTTGTTGTTGTTGTTGTTGTTTTTGGTTTTCTTTGTTTTACTTTCTATTTATTTTTGTCTGCTTTGGCGTGCATAACAATGCAAATGCAGCAATAAATAAATAAGCAAAGTGTGAATGCGAATTCAATGGCCGGGAAGTGGGACGCCGCTTTCCCCCACAGGGAAAGACAAACAAACAAGAATTGGCTTGGCGCAAAAAAAAAAAAACAAAAAAAAAATAAGAAAAATAAATTCAATAAAATTTTAAGAACTGCGCTTTACTCTCAATATGAGCTAACAGAGAGTCAAAGCTTGCTATTAAGTAAGTCGTTTATTTGTAGAGAATATTTTCTCTATTGAGTTGAGAAGATGATAAAAAAATATATAAAATATATTTATCTATATATGCAGTTAATAATCTAAGCAACTAGTCGAACGGAGCTGGCTAAATAATGCTTTGTACACATTCCTGCTTATTTTGAAGGCTTGAAGCATTTACTAGAATTAGTTAATTGTGTTTAGAGTTCATTTATTATAATAATCTTTTTTAAATATTTTTTTATTCGTCTTTCACTTTGTATTTCTGGCCGTATTCATGAGTTGAGAGCATTATGTGGGTAAGCTAATGGTGGTCTCTATAAGAGCTGCAAGAGCTGCTCTCTATAACTCTTTATATACATAAATATACATATATAGAGCTGCAGTGCAGATTAGTCAGAAGCCTTGTCTGAACGAGAACGTGTCTATAGAATAATGCAGTCACACAAAAATACACGCAGAAGGATATGTAAGGTATATACTAGAACGGTTCAACTCCAATCTCGTACATCTACTAAATGTAACTTTGCTTGCAGCTCGCAGTTTGGCAGTCAGTTGGCTACAGTCTTAGAGCCACTGGCATGGCTCTAGCTCTCTCTCTCTCAATATATATATATTTATTTCATTTTAATATAATTAATACAATTTAATTAACTTGCAATTTGAACGAAGAATTTCGTACAAATATTTTCTGTACATTTCATTTTTAATAAAGTAAATCATTATCATTTCTCTTTGGTTACACAAGTGATTTATTAATAGAGGCCGCGCTGCCTAGGCTCCTCCCACAGATAACTTCCACATTTGGCCACAACAATGCGGCTCTGGCATCATATTCATGCACTGCAACTGCATGACCACAGAGACAGCCCGGATGACCATACTCTGTGGGTGGCTGCTTGGGTGGTGCTAACTGGGCACTTAAATCGGTATGCATATAGGTAGCATTAATATATATACAAACTTATATATGTGTGTGTGGGTGGCATGAGTAATGAGCGCTTAATAAGGCGCCACTGACATATTTTACATCGTGTATGTATGTGTATTAAAATTTACATATGTGAAAATATTTATGCACATTAAATATGCGCGAATGAGTGCAACAGTTTGGCATTTTCATTACTTGTTGTTGTTGTTGTTGTTTTTTTTTTTTTTTTTTTTTACTTTTTGAAAATTTCATAAATCATTGCTGTGTTAAAAACGATGAGTCGACGCCGCATTTGCTGTCAGGTCCACAGCCTGCCGGCAGTCAGCTCATATATCCTGTCCATGAAGCGAGCATGACGTGCGCGTGGTTTGACGGGTCATACAGTGAGAGAGAGAGAGAGAGAGAGGGATAGAGTGAGGGAGTAAGAGAGAGAGAGAGAGAGAGAGTGGGGCACACGCCTCGTCTTAACTTATTTACACATGTTTAAAACGCAAATGAGCCGTAAATCGCTGATAGTGCAACAAACAGACAATTGACGTTTGCAACTGCGTGGCCAAAATGTTAAAAAAAAAAAAATAAATAAAAAAATAAATCAAGCAGGGAACAGAGTTCGTTAGACTAGACATACGCTGCTTTGATAGAGGCTTTCATTATGTTTTGACTGCGTATGGTAAGGCTTAAAGTAAGAGTACTCTGCCCTTAGAAAGCGTTTTGACTACGTTCTACCATATTGTGTTCTGCCTTCAGCAAGTCGTTTGTTGGGTTGCAGTCGAGTTTCGAGTTCACCTAACTATGACATACTCTGTTGTCAGTTTGAACTCAGCTAATCTTTATCTAACAGTGGATTACCTTTTGGAAGAGTTCATTTCAACACCTTTTCAGATTGTCTTAGTCCATAGTATGTCTATTCCATAAGAACTTCAACATGCTTAAAGCCCTTTCTATGCATAAGCACCATATGAAATAGCCCAATAGCTAAGCATCAATACATAAATGTAAATATATACAATATCATCACATAGCATACCAACATCTAATCAATCTTCTGCTCTCCCTCACATCCATCTACCCCATCCTTCGATTCACTCACATTATTCCCGCTGTGGCTTGCAATTACAATTGTGCCTTTAAATACAAGATCCGTTCGTTGTTTCACACATAGCGAGTATTTACTTTATTTTCTTAATGGCATCAGCTTTTCAGATGCCAAATTGCTTTGTACGCTGCGCTCGTGCTTGCCCCAGCCAAAGAAACCGCGAAAGTATTTCATATCACGCGAACTCTGCGCGCAGATAGACTCATTTCTTTTGTTTCGTTCTCTTTCACTTGCTCTTTTTATTTTAATTTTCTTCTTCTTTTTTGTGTGTGTTCTGTCCAGCTGTCCATTGCTACAAGTGCCTGTCTGGTTGTCTGTTTGTCTGTCTCTCTGTCTTATGCCTGCAGCAAAATGCTGCGAGGCAAGCCAAATGATGCGTTCGCATCCCGCATCCTGTCGATGAGTGGCAGGAATCGTAAACCTTCTGTGCATTGTGCATATCTCTTGCATATCGCTGGCAACGCTGGCCAGTGAACCACCAATACCCAAACAATGGCATTAAATGTGTTACGGAAACCACAGCTGAGTGAACCACCAGAGAGATAGAGACAGATGCTGATGCACTCAGTTTTAAATCGTAGCCAATTCCAATTCCAATGCCCACCAGGCTCAATATAAACGCAGGCAATAAAATTTTAACGTAAATGCAGTGTATTTAAAAAAAAAAAAAAAAAAAAAAACGAATAAAAATCCCATGAGATTGAGGTTCTCATACTTTTTCACTGTTTTTATTCAAGTTAATGAACAGACATACTCAATTCGATCGATCACAGGAAGCCCGCCGATTGGAAAGACACTTCACTGTGAACAAAAGGCTCAAGTAATTGTGAAATCGCATGGTCACCCTGAAAACCTATTAAGTGAAATTTAACAATAAAGAAAAGTAGATACAGATTGTGCTTAAGTGAACAGTGCTTAACGAGTTTTAATATGTGAGCAGCTCTTGTAGTATCTCTTACTTTCTTTATGTACTTTGCTGATGTTTGACGGAATGTTTATCCAATAATATATCGTATATATATATGTATATCACTGTAATATTACTATATATATATAACTTTATTCTTTATATACTAATCGAAAAAAGTTATTGCTTGAAGAAAAAGCTGTTCAGCTCTCTTATGCAAGTCAAGTCAAGTAAGCAGAGCAATCAAGAATCAATTATTGTTCCTAAAAAAACATATTTCATAAATAAATCGCTTCCCTATTAGATTCATGTCTCTATGTCTCTAAAGTTTCAGCCTCAGCTGTAGCAATTATTGATCTCCTTAGCAAAATTATTGATAAATTATATTACACTTTTATAGCTCCCTCAATATTTATGGCCTGTGACATATGCAGCACTATTAGCTTGGGTCTTTTGTTGCTGCCAGGACGGCTTTATTTTTGTCAATTTTATAGCAGCTAATAAAAAACAGCCTTAGGCTTACGACTTAAAGGCAAAAGGAAATTTTGGTAAACAGAAATGATATAGATTAAAGAGATATTAAAGAGTGGGTAAAGCTCAAGCTTTATATGAGATATTTATAAAAAAAAATATTTAAAAAATTAGTATAAATGTTATGAATTGAACGATTGTTTTTAAATCTAAACATGATATATATACATATCTAGAGCTGATAATTGATGTAACTTAATTTTTTTGAAGAATTAAAATAATAATTCATAATTTATAACAGACTAATAGTAGCTCTAATATACCAAATATATTAATAACATTATCAGTATAATAACAGATTTAGAACAAAATAATAAATTAAACACAAAATAAATTCTAAATTGTGTAAAAATCAGATTAATAATCAAATATAATGCAAATATATCATATATAAGAATAAAAAAATAAAACTTTTTCATACAATAAATCTCCCAACATTTACACAACATATCCATTAACCCCCTACAAATTTCGAGGGTATAATGCCCTGCGATACAGCAGGTCGATGTGTGAGTGCATAAATTGGTTCGTCTGGGGACATGAACTTAGCAAAGTGTTTTCGCCATTTTTCTGTGCCATAAAATTAACGCTTTATATATGAATGTGGAAGGCATAAGGCGCGACAGCGACAGCAATCTTATCGCAATGTAACCGAAAAAAAAAAAAAAAACAACAAGGCAAAACAAGTGGCGACAGCAGCAAAGGCAAAATTGCTACTCATAAGGGAATAAAATGTTTAGTGTTGAATTACAGCGATGAGTGCTTAAAGATGTTGAATGGCTAACTTATTATGAACTGCCATTTCTATGAGTGTATATGTCAAAAGTACACTGAGAGAAAGTATGCGGCAATCGAAAGTTACTGTATTAAATAAAAAACATGAAAAAACTTTTGGCCCATAACATTTTCTATAAGACTCACAGTTCGTTTCTCTCAGTGTACATTCGGTCCACCCAACTGAGCTGTGCGCCTGCTGTCAGTATAGAGTATTATAGTGTTAGTTGTGTATTAGTGAACGCAGGCAGTTTTCATGTAGTGTGTCTTAAAAAAGTAATAAGACGCGAGCTGAAATTAAAATATCGTCCATTTCGCAAAAAGTATTACAGAAGACGCGTTAAAAATTTTAAATACGTAGCAGATTTTAACAGTATATATATATACATAGCAATATATATATTTATATCAATTTATATATATATTTACCAGTTCATGTATGTATATACACAAAAATACGTTTGCACATGTTTATCGCAATTCAGTTTAAGCAGATTTCAGGAGAATGCTTCTGGCCAAACAGAACAGTTTTAATATGCTGGACAGCGATACTGAGGTGCAGGCCGACGCGATATCCAGTTCCAGTCAGGACCTCAAATCCTACTCAGATGGCGAATTAAATAAGGCGACACAACAACAACTACCACAGCAGCAGCAGCAGCAACAACAGCAGCAGCAACAGCAGCAGCAGCAGCTGGTCCATTTACCTTTTAAGCATCCACTTGAGCACACCTGGACATTGTGGTATTTGGAGAATGATCGCAGCAAGAGCTGGGAGGATATGCAAAATGAGATAACTAGCTTCGATATGGTCGAAGATTTCTGGAGTCTATACAATCATATAAAGCCGCCTTCGGAGCTCAAGATTGGCAGCGATTATTCGCTGTTTAAAAAGGGCATACAGTAAGTGTGGGTAGAAGATAACGGGGGTTAGAGATCTACATTGAGTTTATTATGTAAACTGAATTTAAAGTGCCTATAAGCTCTATAAGTGTTAAACCTTATACGCATACATGCTTCATAATCAATATCAACTACCATATCAAACCCATTTCGACATTTTGTCTGTCCACATAGATTTTTAGAGCTAGATTTGAGAAATTTGATTAAACTATCGATAACATGACAGACTTATTTGTCATCGAAAACAACCAATAGATGTTTTAATACAGTCGAGTCTCGATAATTCATATCCCGATAAATCGAAAAAATTCGATAATTCCTATATATAATTTGAATTTCCGTGTAAATCGAAAAAAAACTGATCCCCTTGCCATTTCGAATTTTTGGGATTCTATTGTATTAATACAATATAAATTTAGAAAATACAGTTCTCTAATATAGATACCTCACCCACTCAGGGTATTTCCCAGTCGGTCATTACCGACTCAACCTCTCATAGACATTATCTGACATCTATATTTAAACATATTCAAGAGCTCATGCTTGAACCGTAAGTACATGCATTAAGAGACAACTCAATCGGGCGTAAATCTGCTTTCAATTAACTATGAAGAGCTAAGTGCGTCAATGGTAGGTCATTTATATGTGTGTGAAGTACTTCTAGAGAAGATCCTTATATCATACACGCTTATTTCATACCAACTACCATAAGTCCATAATGTGATAGATTTGACAATAGTTTTCAATTTTGGCTCTGACACAGACCCATGTGGGAGGATGAGACGAACAACGATGGCGGTCGTTGGGTCATCAGCATCGGGCGCTGCAGCAAATTGGAGCTGGACAAGCTATGGCTGGACGTGGTAAGTTGCCCATTGGCAGCTTGTCTGTCAGCTGACCAGCTCTGACCGGCTCTAATCGATGAAGCTTGTTGCAGCTGTTAATACTGATTGGTGAGGCTGTTCAGCATACCGAGGAAATCTGTGGCGCTGTCATCAACTTGCGCAGCAAGAGCAACAAAATCTGTAAGTAGACAGAATGTTGGGCCCAGAGCTTTGCCAGCCATCAGGTTTTTCAACCACTCCTCCCACCCACTCCCACCTCCCATAAACCCTTTTTACTTTGCTGCTGCAGCAATTTGGACCGCCAACGGGCACAACGAGACAGCCGTCATGGAGATTGGCTACAAGCTGCGTAAACTGCTCGGCCTGCCGCCGCACAATCTCCAATACCAGATGCACAAGGACTCGATGAGCAAACAGGGATCGCTGGTGAAAGCCGCTTACATACTCTGAGCCCCACGTATGTTATTAAGTTTTGCTTTGACAGTCTGTTGTCGCGAACTCCCCACATCAACTAGCCACCCCAAAATGGTTCCGCTGTCAAGCCCCCTCCCCCATCACTTATTTCACTGTATCTCTACCTTTATCTCTATATATATTAATGTATATAAGGCAGTTGACTGCGCGTGTATTCCAAAAATGTAAAAAAAAGAAAACCAAAAAAAAAGTATATAAGTTGTTTAATTAATTTTTAGTATGAAAAAAAAAATTAGATATGCTGGAGACATCATCAAGGTGGTTATTATTTACATAATACACAAAATACCAGACAAAAAACTATTTAAGAAATAATGAGCGTAAACGATATGCTTTTAAAATAATGAAAATGTTGGAATGAGAAGGTTCAGATTTGCAAACTTAAAAAGCACCGAACAAACATATATATGAAAATATATGTATATATTAAAAAGCCTATAAAAATACTATCATATAAATTTAAAAAATAACCATTTAGCTTCTAATGAGCGTAAATAATACGCCTTAAACATAGTGAATGAATTTTTGCCGAGCATTTTTCATTGAATTAAATTTTCAATGCATTCACGTTCAGCMCATAAATAAATAACAAGAAATACTGTCAAAAATACTGCACACTCTATGGAATTTTATGCAAACATATGCAGCACTCGACGAGCTGTGCAAATAAAATGCGCCAAATGAAAAGCGCACAAAAGAATTATTAAAAAAAAAAAAAAAAAAACACAGTAAAAGAAAATGCCGAAAATAATAAACGTCGCATAGTTATTTCGTTAGAAGTGGCGCCACAGACACAGAGGACACACACGCACACACACACACAGTGAGTGCAAAAGATATATGCCCACTTGGGTTGGCTGGCCAAGCGCGCAAAGTTCAAGACACAAAAAGGGTCAACAATGGATGATGCGGCCAATGCTGCTGCTGCTGCTGCTGCTGCTTCTCGCTGTTGCAAGTGGCATCGAGTGTGGCGAAACCTAAATTGAAACAATTGCATTTTGATGAAATATGCAGCGTGTGTGTGACATGCAACATTCAATTGGAAATGTGCGCCACTTAGAGAGATATAATGGAATGGGGGGAGTAAGAGAGGGCGGATCAAGGAATATATTCACTAGGTTAGGCTATGTGGCACGTGCCACACAGCAGCTACTTGGGGCAACTTCATTATGGGGCAACTTAAGTTGACAAAACTATCATCAAACTTGCACCTGTACCGCTCGCTCGCTCGCTCGCTGGCTGGCTGTCGCGTTTTGATGGGTCTTAGCTGTCGCTGCTGGCAATGACTACTGTACGTATGAATGTGGCATCAAAACCGCGCACGTGCCACATGTCAGCCAGCTACTGCCGTCTCTTGCCTTCAACTTTGACATATTGCATACACATACACACACACACACACAGACACACACACGTAGGATTATCAGCCACAGGTAATCGTTGCCCCACCTGCCCCTAACTGACGCTCGTACGTAGCCCGAGCAAAATTTACAAATTAGTTGCTCGAAACGTGACTTGAAAATTGTTGCAGTTAGTTTTTTGGCATTTGCAAATGCTGCTGCTGCACAACTTTTGCARCATGCAACTTAATTACTAAATAAATAAATTATATTGCAATTAGTTAAGTTCTGCTGTGTGTTTGTATGTGTGTTTGTATGTTTGGGTGTGTGTGTGTGGATTTATAATAAATGTGAATTGTTATTTTAAGCTTAGTTCATATCGATTTGACTTTGCCGGTGCATCGATTAATTTTGCATGTTGCTTGTTGTTGCTGTTGTTGTGGCTTAAATGCGACTTTGTTGCGCTTATGTTGCATACACGCTGCCGCGCACAGGGTGACACATGTTTTGGCCACCGACTGAACATGTTGTGTGGATTGAAGTTAATTGATTGGCTGTCAGCATGTGGCTAACACTTGATTGATCAGTGACTTTGACTCTATGCTGCCGGCAGTATATGGAAGCATTGAGGAAAGGTTGAGCATAGAGTATATAGAGAGAGTATAAAATGTAGAGTAGAGATTATATAGTGTAGAGTAGAGTAAACGACAGAGTATATAGAGTGTTGAGTGTAGAATGTAGAGAGTAGAGAATAGAGTGTAGAGTGCAGAGTGCAGAGTGTAGAGTGTAGAGTGTAGAGTGTAGAGTGTAGAGTGTAGAGTGTAGAGTGTAGAGTGTAGAGTGTAGAGTGCAGAGCTGAGAGTTGAGAGTGTAGAGTATAACGCAGGGTACATTGATTAGATCATAAAGCAGAGCCCACACAGAAGCAAGCATATAACTATAGTAATACTTGTGAGCAGTTCTGGGAACTGAGCAAATATGACGTTTGCCATACATTTATTTTGCGTATTAAAGAGTTTACTCTCTCATCTATATCGTATAGATATATAGAAGCAACTCAGGCGAGCGCTCGGCGTTATGCTGTGACTATTGTTAGTTAATCCAACCGGAGAGTAAGGCACCCGAGCAAATACGAAGTTAGACTTGTCTAGCATATATAATGAGTCTATACAACTGTTCCCATCAAACATGTTGTATGCTTCATAAGCTTTGGCTGATCAATAGCATTAGCAATTAGTCTTGTAAGTCAGCTTTAATGCTATCAACTCAAATCAATATATTAAACATATATCTAAACCATTCAAATAACTTGCATGAAGCAATCATAAGAGTTTTTTCGGCAAACGCCACTGCAAACTAAACCAATTCAAGTTCAACTTATTGCAGCTGGGAGCAATCGTAAGAGTCATAAACATAGTTGAAACTGATTTGCAGTAGCACGCAATTACTGGTAAATTGCTAGATAATCATGTACAATTAGAATGTGTCTACCCCAAAACGAAATTGTTAAGTTTTGCTTTTGTTTTTGTTATTTTTGTATTATTTTCTTCTACGTAGTCGAGCCCGTCTGGCTCATCTCTCACATATATCAACACATTTCATGCAGTGCGCAGCGAGACAGAGATAGAGAAAGAGAGAGCGACTCGAGATTCAGTTGGATTTTTATTGCCACAGCTGCTGACCGAAGCACCACAAACTAACAGCCAAAGCAGCAGCACCACCACCCACAACTAACCTTTGCTTATGCCTTGTATTGTTGTTGTGGCTCTGGMTCTGGCTCTGCTGGATTTTTATATATTCTATTGCTGCTGCTGCTTCTTCTTCAACTTTTTTTGTTTTTGGCAAGGCAACGCAACACAACATAAAAATAAATTGCACTTCTGACACTTAAATACAGTTGAAAAGCGGGTGGCTGTGTGGTTGGGTGGTTGGGGGGTTGGGTTGGTTCACTGGCAGTCGTCGTCGACGGCGGACACATGATTAAGTGGAGTTTGTGGTTCGCTCTTTTGCGCTTGGGAATACGCATGTAAATCTATTTCAGTATACATTATCGTCGTCCAGTTGAAGCTTAACTTTTATCATATAATAAAATGTAATTTTCCAACTCGTAATTCTCTGGTAATTAGAATTTATAGCAATCTTAATCGTTTTTGGCAGCCCGGAAACACACGGACGGACAACAACAGCCCAAAAGCTAACTTTGAGTGGGCCCTCTTGTTATATTTGTGTGTTGTTTGCCCGGCCGGATTCTTGGTCCACCCCACTCCTCGTCCTGCCTGCCAGCCATCTCTATTTCATTCATAGAATTTCATTAGCTCGATGAGAGTGAAAAAATGTTACGACTTATTTGTTATTAAAATACTCGCTGCACACCTGGACCGCACCTTTGGTGTGTGTTCACCGCATCAATGCAAAGCATTTCCAAATTAAATATTAATCAAATAAATTCCATGCATATAACTGAGGGGAATTTTTACATTTTACAAAATTTTCCATTTCGAATTAATAGGAATTTATGACGCCCGCATAAAAATAAAATGCCACAGACTGGGCCTACCTACAAATATATATATATAGATATCTATAGAGACACTTAACGAGGCAGAGAGACGTGAAGCTTGGAGCGCGCGCCTTGCTGCAAATATTTTGGGGCTAAAAATATTATTGCTATTCGAAAATTGTAGCTAGAGCCGGCTCCTTACCCAAAAAGCAAAATTCTTGTGTGCTCTATATGCAGACGGCGCTGGAATGTCTGCCCCAGTGAGCACTAAAGAAAAACACAAGAAACTGGCCTTGTGAATCGCAGAGGAGTAGAAGCTGCAGATACGCTAGATATTTGAATATAGAAGCAATATGAAATGTGAGGTCGAATGAATAGATAGATGTTTAAAGTATGTATATGACTATGATGTGATTGTTGAATATATTTCGAAAAATTATATAAAATATCTACATAATATCGATATAAAATATCTACCTAATATCTATCATATTTAACTTACTGTCAATCTAGCAATTCGAGATTATAAATGCAATATATATTCATTATAGCTCCCCATTCTTATATGTTTCTCCCCTACCCACACAATCACATCTGTTCCCAACACTCCCACACTCCAACATTTCCATTAGAAACAGCAACAGGGTATCACAACACGCTTAGAATGCAGGGCGTGCCTATTTAATGTATACACAACATATTTATATAGTATACGTCTAAGCTATATCTGGCCTCATAAATACATAAATATGCTAAGAGAAACAACAATGGAAAGCCAAGCAAACAAAAAAAAAAAAAAAAAAAAAAAATTTTAAAAAAAAAAAAAAAAAATTTTAAAAAAAAAAAAAAAAAAAAAAAAAAAAAAAAAAAACCTAACTAAAACGGCGGCATCCTTTTTATAAGCAAATTGAAGACGACGTTTGAAGCTGAAATGAAAGAAACTATAAAAAGAGCCACAAAACCGCATCAAACACACAACGGGATATTAAGCGCAAAAGTTGAGCGAAAAGATTTTTAGTGGCAGATCAGGGCAGCGAAGCTGAACTTAATGAAATAAAGCACTTGCTGGGCAACACACACACACAAACACGTTTTTGGGATGACCTGAAACCTAAAGCTAAAGCTAAATGCAAACCTTAGCATAAGAAGTCAGTCATGAAAATCGTACGTGAGCAATGA